ATATCAACGAATATTGCTGACTAAGTTTTGCGCTGATCCTTTAGCCTTCTCCAGCTAGGCAGCCGCCTCGCCTTTAGTGCGGCAGTACTATACTCTGTAAACCGGGCAACGGCAAGCGCTTTCAATCCACTGCCTCATATCGCCTCACTATATTTTTGTAGCGAATGTCACCTATTTCATTTGGAAGGACGTCAGTGTACTTCTTCCTGAAGATCAGTCACTCGGATACCGTGACGTGAAACTGCTGAGACCCATACCCATCACACGCATATTTTTATAAACATACAAATACCGCGATGGGTTCACAGACTTCTTCGGAGGCTTGCAAAAACTGTAATACCTTCATCTATTCTGACGACGATGAAATCCCTTCAATATTCCTTTAGCAGTAGAATAACACCGAAATATTTGAATAGTGCTGCTCCTGTAGAGCGAATATTTTGTCATTTTACGGTTCGAAGCCGAGACGTTCTCATCTTGCGGAACCGCTTCACGACTTTACTCCCATACTCTGTGAGTCATTTACGCATCAGTTACTAAAGTGATAGCCCTAGTCAATTACTTCCCTAATTTATCACTCGGAACTACTTTAGTTAAAGGCTATCGTGCGATGTTTGGTATCGTCACTGGCAACAACACAACCTTGACTATGCTCTCGTAAGAGTTCATACAACAAAGACTGCGTTTTGTGGGAAAGGCACGACCTATGAATTATAATATAGACTGTCTCAAGAAACCACTGGTGCTACAAATATCTATCTTGTTGTCAACCTTTATATAATATTTAGACCGTCATAGTGCTGATATACGTGCTGTTTGCGTATAATGAAGAAGACATGTGAGTCATCCACTGCAATTTTTTCGCACATTCGTTATATTCCGATGTCCAATCAAATCCAAGGTAATTGGCTGTAGGCACGAACTCGGTGGCCAACAGTATGAACTGCTCTGTTTAAGCATGCCACACAATGCATGGTTCATACCTTCATGCATACCTACATTCATCCGGGAGGTCTAGGATCTCACGCGAATAAAGGCATCATCTACTTACTTATTTATTTATGCTTGATCCGATTAGCTCCTGTTGTTGAAGGAGGAAAGTAGCTTCCTCGATGTTACCTTTAACGATGTGTGTTCTTACAAGCTCCGTTAAACGACATAGCAGACTGAATTTAGATTGCACTGATGAAGATGCAACATTGGCAAGCCTCTTTGTTGAAATACAATGAGCTCTGTTACTGCTTTCTGTTCATGTCTCTGACGAAGAATCCGCGACGGATGTCAAAACGTCAGGCGGATAATGCTGTTGTCCCAGCGATCGAACCTTCTTCACAATTGGCTCTGTTATAGATAAAAATAAAAACGGCGGAAATATATGCCAGATTCTTCAGTAAAAGATAATTGAGGTGGTATGAGCTGTTCAGTCGCCGTCCATCTCACTAACTCCATATTGTTATCTTCAATCTGGAGTCGTTATCCACTTGGAGACGCCAAAGAAGGGGTCAACTCCAAACCTTGCCCGACATAATTGAACAAGCGAGTTCTAGGACGCAATTCCGAAGGAGAAGATGCAATCGTCGGCACAAGAAGTTTATTGGCTTGGCGTTTTGGATTCTCAGTCGAACACACCATCAGAGGTTGTCTCCGGTTGATGTCACCTGTTCTCTTTCCTCCGAATTTCTTTCATGTGGTCACCCCGTCGAAAAAAACTTTGCAGTGCTCGAATAGAACCGGATAGCTGCGGTAACATTTCTTTCTAACTGAAATGGCATACTCAGACGCTGAGCATTTCTGCCTTCGAAATCACTTAGGACGCTATTTCGCTCGAGCACTGCCTGTTTCAAGGATGCCAACGGACATGTGAATCTCCGGTTCTGTGTTCAGTTTTCGGAGGTGACGTGCCATTTGACCGAACTTAGCCTCCGAGTTGTCGCTGACTGTAACCATTATTATTGCTGTAGGCCTGCAACATGGAACTGGTAGTCACAATAAATCTGCTTAAAACAACAGGTCAGGTTGTGCATACGCAAACGAGACGAGCAAAAAAATCGCACCGGAGGCAATCATTAGGCGTAAGATGATGACACCAAAAAACCCACTGCCACGGAATGAAATGTCTAGAGTCGTCTATAAGATCTGGTGTAGTTGCAGGGAGAAAAAGGAAGACTTTTCAAGACGCGAATTGCCGAACACGCGATGGTACGGCGAAAAAAATGAAGCCAAATCTCATGTCGCCGTGTATTCGACGATACCTGCCCGCACATTCAAATTTGATAAGGGCAAAATTATCTGAAGAGGTGACAATCCTGTGTATCGCAAGTGGCTTCAATCATGGTTTGCGGGCCCGCAGTGCAAATAAGTGCAATGACCCGCTTAGGC